AAAAATATCTTCATTTGTGTTCGTAAAATGAATGAAAGTATTATGGGTTTGGAACGACATGAGGGTGAGTAAATGATGAGTAAATATTTATTTTGGGTGAACTATTCCTTTTAGACCGTGTAATTATATTAACATGGTCATGCCAACAACGCTACAAAAATGTTGGATTTACATCACTATCTCTTTCAAATTTGATCTCTTTTTAAATTAAATTCGATGTAACAAACATGTCCAATGACTGAGACAAATATTCCCAACACTACACTGTCATCTGTCCATTACGGAGATTCCTATCATCTCTGAATAAAGCCCCTGTTGGCAACAAACTCCCACCTCAAAGGAACAACATGGTTGTCGTCTAAAAGGGTCTCATTTGTCCCACATCGTCAGCCTTTGAAGCAGGTGATTCATGCGGTGGTGTGACAGCCAGTCTCCTCCAAACCCACACGGAACACGACGGCTGGTGGGAGTTTGTGAGTGTGAACAACTCTTTGCGTTTAAAGTGTCTTTATTTTCCCCTTTAGTCTCTCTCTCGCTGTCCTCTTCTAATGGATATGTTTACAGCTATCAGTGTGTTACAGATCATCACACATTAGAACTGTGAAACCACATACAAGCAATTTCCTCTTTCACACGCAAGATACGTGTCTGTGTGCGTGAGTTATATTTCCACCTCAAACACAATTGACCCTCCATGACATGTCTTTGGGAATAGAGGTATCATTTTGAAATAAGAAAACAAAAATATTGCAAAGAGAACTAACATTTTCTAGGATAGGACCTGATTGTTTTTTAATACAGATTGCTAACAAGCTAACAACCTTTAGCTTTTGTAAGTTTTGCTGGATCATTCACTACAAAATGTTGTATTATTGTATCTTCTCTGCTGTAAAAAATGACTATTGGCTCATATTTAGGCTATGTATACTAAGTACAGGTGGTAATAAAGCTAACACTAAAGCTCTGTGTTAAGCTAACATGTGTCTACAGGCTACATAGACATGCAACTGCTTTTTATTACAGCATCCTAATGTCACAGAACCAGACAAGTGACTGATTTTAAACTATTTTAACATAAATATCAACTCAACACATAAAAAGCGCTCCACACAGGATTATTGGATATCATCAAAGTTCAGTTACCCTGTTGCTAAGCTAACGAAACACTAATCTAATATGAGCAGAGTATACAGTACATCGCACAGCACACATACATATTGGGTAAAATACTACAAAAGTACTCAATACTAAAAAATACTCAATGAAACATGCACTCACCTAAAGGATTATTAGGAACACCATACTAATACTGTGTTTGACCCCCTTATTTCTATGTGGCATTGATTCAACAAGGTGCTGAAAGCATTCTTTAGAAATGTTGGTCCGTATTGATAGGATAGCATCTTGCAGTTGATGGACATTTGTGGGATACACATCCCCTGTTCCACCACATCCCAAAGATGCTCTATTGGGTTGAGATCTGGTGACTGTGGGGGCCATTTTAGTACAGTGAACTCATTGTCATGTTCAAGAAACCAATTTGAAATGATTCAAGCTTTGTGACATGGTGCATTATCCTGCTGGAAGTAGCCATCAGAGGATGGGTACATGGTGGCCATAAAGGGATGGACATGGTCAGAAACAATGCTCAGGTAGGCCGTGGCATTTAAACGATGCCCAACTGGCACTAAGGGGCCTAAAGTGTGCCAAGAAAACATTCCCCACACCATTACACCACCACCACCAGCCTGCACAGTGGTAACAAGGCATGATGGATCCCTGTTCTCATTCTGTTTACGCCAAATTCTGACTCTACCATCTGAATGTCTCAACAGAAATCGAGACTCATCAGACCAAGCAACATTTTTCCAGTCTTCAACTGTCCAATTTTGGTGAGCTCTTGCAAATTTTAGCATCTTTTTCCTATTTGTAGTGGAGATGAGTGGTACCCGGTGGGGTCTTCTGCTGTTGTAGCCCATCCGCCTCAAGGTTGTGTGTGTTGTGGCTTCACAAATGCTTTGCTGCATACCTCGGTTGTAACGAGTGGTTATTTCAGTCAAGGTTGCTCTTCTATCAGCTTGAATCAGTCGGCCGACTCTCCTCTGACCTCTAGCATCAACAAGGCATTTTCTCAAACTCAAATTCTCAGATTCAAGCTCAAAATTGCTTAAATCACCTTTCTTTCTCATTCTGACATTCAGTTTGGAGTTCAGGAGATTGTCTTGACCAGGACCACACCCCTAAATGCATTGAAGCAACTGCCATGCGATTGGTTGATTAGATAATTGCATTAATGAGAAATTGAACAGGTGTTCCTATTATAATCCTTTAGGTGAGTGTATAAGTGTATATATATTTTTAACCTTTCTTACACTTACCCTGCAATGTTCAATGCAATGCAAACTCAGCAAAAACTGAATTTGGCCAAAACTAGGTTTTTCGCTTATTAGTGGAGGTCTGGAGGATAAATCGGACGAAAAAAATCCCAAAGACCCACTCATCATATTATATCCCACTTTCACTTCCAGCTGATGAACGGAAAAAACATTGACAGCAAATCAGAATCCATCCTGCTTTAACAACATTTAAAGCTTTTAACTGAACACTATTGTCCATTGGTGTGGATTCAAATATAGTTATTTTTATAGTTATCGTTCTTGGTGTGAAAGGGTATTTAGGTCAGTAAAGTATGCTATTTATTTTTAAGCTTATTAAGAGAATTACATTGTTAGATAAGCGACACGCAAACTTCGAACTGTTGATATCACATCCGAGTCCTTAGGAAAAGGTAGCCTAAAAATCGAATAAAAAACCCCACAAAACTGGCCCTTCATTAATTTAAAGTAACTCACTCCCTGTAAACGTACAGCGCTATCAATCCTGTTCTCAGTTACAGTCCTGCAGGGGAGGTCAGGTATCTCGTGTAATCCAGGGTGTGTCATAGAAACTGAGCGGGACACAAAGCCACCCAGACAGATGGCTGAGCTGTTACATATTGCAAACAATAACCAACATCTGTCTTTCTACCCATAGTACCTCAACTAGAGGCCTCTATGTCAAAAGGGAACAATGTTTCCGAATTACGGGAGGACGCCTTTCCAAGCTTCCCTGAGAACAGTTTTATGGCCTTTCTTGTACATATTCACGTTTTGATAAGAGAAACCATTGACAGAGAAGTGGATGACTGACTTTCACCTGCAACCTATAGCCAGGGGCGAGACCCGGTAGTCACCTCGGTGTGAGACTACACCTTTCCTGAATGTTCACACTGTTTAGCACTTCCTGTCTTGGATGGATTTGCAACTTCCCTTTGCTGAAATGGTAGAAATGCTGTTATTATAACAGGTTTTTTTTTTGCATTAATCAGTGTTTGGCTTGCCTGTTAGGGCAGATTTTAAGAGGAGTGTGCTATGTAAGAGAGAACAAAACATGACTCAAGAATGAGAACTGGTGCCAAGGGAAAGGAGGTTGGAGGGCCCTCACGATTTTGTTCAGTTTTTTTTTATAATATAAAGAATATAAAATTATTGTTCTTCCAAAAACGCAAAATAAATACATGTTCTGTTTGTACGTACACTGAAAGTCAATGGGGTCCAAAAAACAACAACATTGGACCCCATTGACTTTTCCATTGTACAAACTAAAACAGTTAAAGTCACAATGAAATCAAAATGGACATATATATATTTTTTTATGGATTATTGTAGTATACTCCACAAACATCTCTTCATATCTCTGATCACATGACTGCCGCGTTATCTAATTTTATAAAAGTTGAAATGCTACTATACGCACAGGCTATAAGTGTAGGCCATGTATTGGCTATGCCTAGATTGCACACTCTCAGGTCCTGCATGTCTCAGTCAGACATCAAATAAATAAAATATTAGTACTTATTCAAACAACAAGATCTTTGTGTACCCCTGCAAAACTTCGTTCAGCTGCCGTCTGCTTCAGTTCATTCAGTCAGGAGGGGGCGGAGTTATCAGCTTTACTGACAGTTTGAGGATCGAACACGATTTACATAAGCTCTTTTTAATAACATTGGCTAAATAACGTTATCGTTGTAACGTAACGTTATCGTTAGCTAAATATTTGTAAAACTAGGGTGACCAACTGTCCTGTTTTCCCAGGACATGTCCTGCTTTCATATAAAAATATAACAATTTTCCATCCATACAGAGAAGGCATAACCTACTTTAAATGTATTGAAATTAATAAGGTATCTTTGAGTAAACTTCGAGTATCATTTGAGTTGGCCCATGTGTTTGCTGGGCCGAGTGTCCTGGTTTTTGGTAATCAAAATATGGTCACCCTAGTAAAACAGATAGACATATGTAATGTGACCAATAGCCAATGTTTTTTTGGAAGAAAAAAAAACCACACCACCACCAAAAAAAAAGGGGGCACGTCGGAGTGTATGAGCAAAAAGGGCTCTGGTTGAGCCCTACCTGTGCACGTGCCTGGATATAGTACGTCACATAGGGAAGAAAATATCATTGCAACTTCTGTTTCATGTCGACTTTAAGATTATTGACCAAAAAACAATCTGAAAAAAATGTCTTTCTGTTTTGTTTGCCCACACAAAATGAAAGACAATAGGGCTCAAAACAACACTGACAACCCCATTGACCCCATTTTGATCATTGTATGAACAAAAACAGTTCTTAAAATATCTTCTTTTGTATTCCAGAAGAAAAATGGCAAACAATTTAAAACAACATGAGCGTGAGTAAATGATGACAGAATTTAATTTTTTGGGTGAACTCCCTTTAATAATATTTAATGATATAATACTTTGGATGCACTGCCCAGTGATCTGAAAATTCAGAATGGCTAGTCAGCACAGTAAAACCTTTCTTTTCCCAAATTCTAGCTCACTAGATTTGAACTTGACCTGCAACAGGGGGAGTGCATATTGCTCACTGGCTAGTCATCAACAACAAACCAAAGCTAGAAGCAATTACATAAATCCTCAGGCAACCGATCACATCACTTACCTTCCAAGCTCTTCACCAATATCGTAGAAATCCTCCACTTTTTGTTGCTTGAACACAGCCATTCCTAATGTCCTCATTGATGATGATGTTTGTGTCAGTAAATAAGGGACAGCTGGCCAAATCTGTCACAATCCCAGGGAAGTTCTGTCAATTTGTAGGGTGCAACTCTGCAATTAACAGACACTCACATAAGCACATGTCCCAGCATGCTGCTCTGCATTCCTTCACTTGCAAGAAGGTGTAAGAGAACATAAGATTTTCCTTGCTAAACGTATAAGGCAATGTGATAATAACAAAACCCTTGGCACCTCAAGTTTAGCCTCCTGAAGCATGAAATGCCAAAGTTGACGTACATATCAACTAGTTAAAAGTGATCAAATTCCTTTCTTTAGAGGAAAATGAGGGTTCAATGGCATGAGAAATATCAGGTGAAATTGAGAGTGCTGTGGGGGGAAAAAGGAAATGCCGGGCAGCATTGTAATGTTCTGACAGGCTGACAACCCTAACAGTTTTATTGTTATAAAAGTAAAGAATATAAGTAGCCTTTGATATTGATGTTATGATAAATATTCACCTCACAGATGTACAGAAAACTACTGTTTTAATTGTTTGTTATAACGCTTACTCGGATAACAAACATAAGGACGTTTTCTAATGAAAACATTATTTCTTAATGTCCTCTGAATTGTCAAAATGACCAGTTTTACAAACGTTTTAAATACATTTTTGGCTGTACACACTTTAAGGGGCCATTTTGCAAACATCTTGGGAATGTTACTTTTAAATGTTCTCTGAAACAAAAAGTGACAGTTAAAAACGGAACAGAAAACCTTCAATTAACGATGTGTAAAAGAGATGTTTCCTGCTGTTTTGAGAAAATGAAAGCGAACGTTCTGTTACTGGAAGAACGCGTGTTAAAAACTTTTCCGGAACGTTAGAAAAGTTCACTGTTTGCTGGTTAAATAATAACCATGACAGTCATTCACACAATATCATCTCCTCCTATTTCATTGTTCTCAAGTTTTACAAGACACGCTGAACTACAAGAAGGTATTGATATTTGATATTGTAAATTAATCATAAAAAGGATGTCTTACCGTTTTTAAGAAATAACTCTTATATTATTGTGTTCCGCTAACATTTGAAGCATATTCCCCGGTTCGAGCTCGTCTTGCGCGAGTCGCGCTGTTGAATTGGAGACTGGATGAGCGCACGCGCTTTTGTTGTCAATCTCGAGCTCGCTCACGCGCCACCTGTTGAGCACCGCGGTAATGCAGAGTGTCAGATTGGCAAATCTTTTGAGTGAATCAGTTGAACCGGTTCAAACACATCCGCGTGCATGAGTCATTTATTATAGGTACATCTTTCTAAATTCACTTTCTAACTTCATCAAAATGATCTTAAAGTTTGATTTCAGTCGAATACACACACACACACACACACACACACACACACACACACACACACACACACACACACACACACACACACACACACATAGTAATTACGCTTTAAATGGCTTCCTCCAACATAGTTTATTGGAGTAATCGGACTTTTCACTGCGTTTGTGGCAGTGAGAGTATTTCTTGAAATAATTCATTTTAATTAAACTGCGTGCCTGCTTAAAATAGGCAGATGAGTACAACAGAATACAGAATATTTTGAGTGAACCAAGAATCTGATTAGTCATACAAATGTTCTGCAATATAGTTTTAATAAATACCAATAGCCTAGGCTAGGTCAATTATTTTGACTATGATAAGCATGTCGGTAAAACCCGGTTTGTAAATAAATCTATCATGAATGATTTATTAGAACACGCTGTGAATGTTGGAGTCAGACTAAATAAATAATTTAGTCTACTACTGTCTTTATAGCTTGTGCTTGCTCTAATATATTTGAACTATTATCGCCACCCGCTGGACATAATAAGCAAGCATGATCTCATACAGATGCACTTTGCTCTATTATGTTTGAACTGTTATCGCCACCTGCTGGACATAATAGCAAGGTGCAGCATATTCTTTTCCCCAACATCCCTTTGTTTTTTACTTAAAAATAAATAAAAATGAAAAGTATGTTATAGTACATAAGTATATTTTAGATGCGTCAATATTTTGTATTTTAGTACATAAACCACCACAAAACAGGAACTTTATTGTTGTGCTTATGCAATATTTCCTGTCAAACTATGTATCATCTGTAAAAAATGAGTGATTATTCATCACAACTTTAGAACATTAGAATAAGAAATGTGTTTATACTTATAGGGATATTTCACTTTGAAATTAATTTTTGATTTGTTTTAGCTTACCTAAAAGGCATCCAAGATAGGTGTCTTTGTATCCACAGTATTTTCAATTTTGATATTTTTCAGTCAAACCATATCAGTTATATACTGTGCATGCTCTTTGAGGTGGTGACCTGCATTATATGACTGATAAACAAGAACGATTTGACCTAAAAATATCAAAATTGAAAATACTGTGGAAACAAAGACACCTACATCTCGGATACCCTTGAGGTAAAGTAAAACATATCAAAAATTAATTTTTGAAAAAAAAGTATGTGTTCGTGCTTGACTTAAAATATTAAGTTTAGTTGACTAGTCATCTCAACAAATTTTAAGTTGGTATAACTAATTGCAGCAGTGATGAAGACCTTTGTAATTGATATTGTTCATGGAGAGCGCAGCTACTGAGACTGGCTGTAAAGATGCACTGTATATAAAAACTACACAAAAACAACTGTATGCAACAGACATTTATTGGGAAATCATGCATAAGTAAAAAAAAAAAATGGAGGATTATAATGACCCAAGTTTCAGTAACATTTCAAAGAATTCAATAATTTTGTATCAAAGGTCTGCTCAAAACATTACATTGAGAAACAGCAACAAAGACATTTTGAAACCATAGCTTACTCACTGAAGACATAGCTCAGAAATATGTTTGATGGCTAAATAACATGGGTAATATGAATGGGTAAAAATCCACAGAATGGGTAAAATTTCTATATATAAAAAGTATAATTATGTAACTGAGGGATTAGACTGTCTTAAAATGTAGCTCACAAACAATACATTTTCTTTATTATGGCACTGTGGATGACAAAATCTACTTCCTACATGCAAAAAAACATAGTCAATCTGAGAGACCAGCTCTCAAAAACCAAAGACAGTATTACATCTTTGTTCGCCATAACAGCAGGTGTTAAAATGTATAATATGTGTATTATCATGATGCACGAATGGCGTAGAAGAGATTAATTGACTGAATGCACTGATATTTAAAAGGAAGTAGCTTTTCCACACATACATGAGTGCAACAGATGACTTCAAAGCCAAATTGTGCTTGGAAAGTTAAGAAATTAATTCAGATATACATTCCCTCATTATACAGGCCCTTATAGATTGTTATTGCATTTTCGATATTAAGAGATTTCAGTAACAACAGAAAATGAACACAAGCGTGGAACCCATGACAAAAAACCCCAACTTGTTCACATTTTCCATATTTTTATCTTCATTTTAAGCAGCTTTCTGTGGATTTTAGACTAACATTATAAGTGTAACAATATACATTTATTGTTAGAATATTTCAAATGGAAGAGAAGAGCACAGAAAAATGCGTGTAACAAATCTAAACAATAAATGTACCAATTAGGAAGCAGCAAATGTGCATTGTGCTTCTAGAACCTAAACACACATGTTAAAATGTCATTCTGTGATATGGCAGGGTTTGGCAATCATGTCGTGAGCAGACAGGAAGATTGTGAAATGCTGCGTTTACAACATATGTGTGCTTTTCCTCGCCTTGATTGGTCACTGAATTAAGTGGAAGTTATATGTTTAGGAAACATAGGTCTATGAATGTTTAATAAAAAGGGCAAGTCTTGTAAACCTAAATTTGATTTAAATCAAATAATTATGCAATATGATACGTGTTGATATTATTACCAATAGTATGTATACAAATGAAACGGTTTAATAAGTGCGAGTCGTGCGACTTGAAAGAAAAAGTGTTGGTGTCTGTTAATATGTCCAGCATAATATAAGTGTATTCGAATTGTGTCCAATCCGCACCCGCACAATAATTACTATCTAAATGCAAGTACTTTAATACTGATTTTGGTCCTTGTGAACAAATGGATGGAATATTGGTGAAGCAATTAAAAGACAATGAAAAAAAGGCATCCATTTTTGATTAATCAAAAGGAATACTGTTCTTTGGTCTCTCGAAGTCACAGTTTGTTGAATGAAACGCATTGAAAGATATAAGACACGTTGTGATTGGCTAATGCTTTTGTTCCCTCATTGGCCGTGGTTCAGCTGTCCTCGTCGTCGTCACTGATGAGGGTGCGGCCGTCCAGGGTGGTGTCTCTGTCCCGCAGGAAGGTCTGACGGATGGCTTCCAGCTCGGTCAGCTCCAGGCGGACCTTCTCCAGGTGGAATGTGCGGCGGTTCTGGATCTGCCTCAGTGGGAATGGGTTCATGTCCACAAAGGCCATGCTCATCAACTTCCTGCGAGAAACACAAATAATCACTCACCGGCCACTTTATTAGGTACACCTGTTCAACAGCTCTTTAAATGGATAGTTCACTTTGAAATACATTTTTGATATGTTTTAGCTTACCTCAAGTGCATCCAAGATGTATGTGTCTTTGTTTCCACAGTAGTTTCAATTTTGATATTTTTAGGTCAAACCGTTCGTGTTTCTCAGTCATATAATGGAGGTCTATGGTCACCACCTCAAAGAGCATGCACAGAGAAGTCCAAATTAAACATGATTTAATGACTCGTAAATGTAAGTACACATTGATGGCCTAAGACAAAACGAGCGGTTTGTGTGAGAAAACGAACAGTATTTATATTGTTTTATCTTTTGTAACCACAGTCACGTCTAAGTGATCTGAAGGCACAGGCACTTTGTGGTTGCAAGAGTTAAAAACGATATAAATACTGTTCGTTTTCTCACACAAACCACTCATTTCATGTCTTAGGCCATCAATGTGTACTTACATTTACGAGTTATTAAATCATGTTTAATTTGGACTTCTCTGTGCATGCTCTTTGAGGTGGTGACCATAGACCTCCATTATATGACCTAAAAATATCAAAATTGAAAATACTGTGGAAACAAAGACAACTATCCCTTTAACGGAAATATTTAATCAGTAAAAATATTTATTTTCCCCTTTTTAAAATTAATATAATAATAAATGTATAAGTCACCATTTTGACAAATAATCAAAATAATCAAAACAAAGTTGAGCAATTATTGTATTTTCATGATTGCACGCACCTTGCATCCAAGATGGTACGTGTGAAGTACCGAAGGTACTTGAAAATGGTCATGGGATCCTGGAGCTTTAGAAATTCCTCTTCTTTGTACTTGAAGAGCGCAAGAGCAAATCGGAATATTATCTGCCAAGGTATAAAGAAACATCAAAGTGCGTCAGCAATAATGGAGAACTAAGGTCACCCTGAAACAAACAGACTCATTGTGGAAATTAAAAAGAAAGGTGAGTATTAGTATTATGATCTGTATTATTAAGTATCATACATTCATTTAAGGATTTACAATGCTCATTTTAGGTTTGCAACATTTGCTGTTGTTCTTAAATAAACAAGGGACATTAATCCACCATACCTTGGGTCCCTCATAGAGAAAAGCGTCCCAGATCTTGAAGAGGATGTCACTGACCACACTGTCCACAAACACAACCAGGAACCAGTTGAAGGTGATGAGAGAGAAGTCTACCTTATAGTGCTCAAAATGAGCATGAAGCCTGGGTAACTTCTCGTACATCAGGTCCTTAAACACACGCTGATCTACCTACATCAATAACAAGACACAATACAAACGGTTAACAATCCAAAATCATTTTGTAGCAGGACAAAAATATAGATTTATGAGAAAAAGAATACAAAATCTATTTAAGTCACTTAAAATGTTGTGCAGCCACATGTCAGCAATGACAAGCCATAACTAGAAGCGTGCCAATAATATGGTTTCAACTGAAAAGCAATTGGTAAGTCACTCCAAATATGATCATGTGGTGAGTATTCATGAGAGTATTCATGTTGTATAAGTTCAAAATGTGGTAATGTTTTGACGATGGAAAGGAACCTAAAAAGTCGCTGTGACAGATGATAGAATATAAAAGTCATGATATCCAGTCATGAGTCATGATATCCAGCAAACCAAGACATGCTTAAAGCCCCGAGTTTTTGTCGTCTGAGTGAATGTATAATCTTGAAACGGTACCTGTGAGCCTAGCAGTGTTTTAGTGTAATAGTCACGTGGCATGAAAACCTCCACAATGGCCACGAGACACCAGAAAGCATCTTCTTGGTCCAAATACAGAAGAGCAATAGCTGCCAGCCTGAAAAAAAATAATAATCAGAAATCATTTAAAGGCCTACTTAAGTGCCTTGAAACGCACAGCATTATTCAATGTGTTGATGAAATCTGAGAGCTTTCAGTCCCTCCATAGACATCTATACAACTACCACTTTGACGCTTTGTAAATTTCATAAAGAGATTGAGAACTAATAAACATAAATTGAGAGGTTTAGTCCAAATTTTCTGAAGAGACTCGATAGCTTTAAATGATGAACAGATTGAATTTAGGCTAAATTCACATATAAACACTGATCAACAAACATAAAAAGATGCTCAACTGAACCTGCTTGAGCAGGTAAAGCTCAAACGTGCTGCGTAACACGAGAATGAACCTCATTGGTTCTTGCTGAAGCTCAAACGTGCTGCGTAACACGAATTATGAAGTTTTTGAAGCGTAAAAATTGTAGTTGTGTAGCTGTCAATGGAAGGACAGAAAGCTCTTAAATTTCATCAAAAAGATTTTAATTTATGTTCTGAAGATGAATGAAAGTCTTACGGGTTTGAAATGACATGAGGCTGAGTAATTTATGACAGAAAGGCCAACATACTGTTTTCATACCAAAAGTATGAAACTTAAAATTGGATTTCAAGGGGACTATAAAGAAGTTGATTTCGCTTTAGACATACAACACCCCAACAGTGAAGTGAAGAGCTGATGAAATCATTTGGATCTGCTACCTGTTGAGGCCTTGACAGTAGCCGATATCTGGATTCCTCCAAGAAAAAGCCAGTAGCACGTTCCTGAGTTTCTGGATGCCATCTGAGTCAGGAGAGGCATAGTGCTTGTTGTTTGGGAGCGTCCGCAGAAGATCGAGCTCTATTTGCTTGCAGGCCGGGTTGGGTTTATCGTTCGCCGTGCACAGAAGGTTTTGGTAATAGTCCTTCGGCTGGTTGTCACGGATCTTCTTCACATGGTAGCTCACGCACCAGATCCACACCTTGGAACGGTGGATATGGGGCACCCCGTTTCGCATCAGCGCCTTCAGCTCTGGAGATCGAACCATCTCTCTGTTCATGGTGATGGCCAGGTAGTTGTCCCACTTCACTCTGACTGATGTCTCCTGGTCTGTCAGGGAGAGAGACTTCAGGTCCAGCGCTCTCTTTTTCGCTTCAAGTTTTTCCTCCTCATCTTCCTCCTCCGGGACAGTTTTGAAGCCAAAAATGTCATATTCACTATATGAGAAAGGAAACATTATCACTGGTTATATGTACAATTTGTAACACAGTAGGCAACCATTTTCAAAGTAACAAAGCCCAATTACAAAAGTAAGCTAGAGATTAGCAAAACAACGAATCTAGTAGTTGGTGAGTTGTCAAAAGAACTTGTTGAAACCAACAACTATTTAAAATCAAGCATTTGTATTAGGATAGATCCACTTAAAAATAGCATTACATGTTTAGTGGAAGTAAGAAAACATCCTGTTCCTGTAGACAAGTACTGTAGCATTTGAAAAACACTAACATGACCAAACATGTTTGAAGGTGGGATTCTTTAGAAGTGTGGCAGCACAAAAATGAAAGTAAACGAAACTCAAATCATATGGGGCCAGTTGTTTTAAACATTTAAACATTTGGAAATCCCATCTTTTCCTATCCAGGATCAGGTAATCTGTCTTACTTTTATGCCAGTTTTTCAAAGCACCCTGATCCAGATACACAGTTTTCAAGATTACCAGTGCTCTAACATATCACAATGTGGGCTACCAGCTATGTAAAGAACAGGTAGAAGAGCCAACATGGGGTCACTGTAAGTGTTTCTTATTTTGAAACCAAACACAAATGGGGACACGATTATTTTTTATTTTATTTTTACTTTACTATACTGAATAGCTTAATTGTTAGCCTATGTCTACTTTATCACTGTTACAACGGTTACACAAGTCAAGTGCAAAATATAAATACAAGTATATACACTACTAAATGATACAAATTGTACCAATTTTACAAATTTGACCAATTTTAAAGTTTTCCCACATTTTCTTCCTGAAATCCACCTTGAAAAATGTTGGGATCAGGATAATCCTGTTTTTTTGGATCAAAGTTATCCAAATCCCACTGACAAGTTTTGAACAACACAAACTGAAGGTTTGATCCAGATTAAAACTAGGATTGGATTCCCTGATCTAATCTGATTTCAGATTCCTTCTTTCCCTTTTGAACAACCCATTTTCAAGATTTGATCCAATCCGATAACAAAAATCCGCCTTTGAACAACTGGCCCATGGTGACAGAACAAGTTCTACTGTTTGTGTCTGTAACCAAAAGTTTAAGGAGCCAGATTTTTATACATTTCCCCATACACCCTCTTGTAATGTTAGTCTTGATAATTTCTATACATTCTCTTGGCCCCCCTTTTTTTTCTACTGTACCTTTAAGACTGCAATATATAAATGACCTCTGCTATGACTGGACTCTTTGCATATGAAATGAATAACAATAGACCTTATTCATAGCAGCATCATCTTTGATTTTTAACGGGAATAACATATATCTCTTCAGTGGGTTGTGCTGTTATTTAATGTGTATTTGGATTGTTCTTCTCACAAAAAAAAAAAATGCAAAAATATCTTTCCAAGGAATTTAAGTAGACAAAAAACTCCAGACAATATGAGCTGTGGATCTAGGAGTACAGCTTTTTACAGGAGTACAGGAGTACAGATAAGTCTATCTCTCACAGCCGCGCTGTCATGGCGCTGCTCTGAATAAGGTCTATTCTTCGCCAACTTACTAAATATACTGAATTTATGCTGACCAAAACAAGGACGGCCAACCTTTTCATGTTTGTGACTTCATTATCATGGGGGGGTGGAAATGATACCTGACAGCGTTGGGTTTGAGGATAGTGTGCTCCTGCTGGTCAGCGCTCTCCACCTGTAGCGCATCTTCTAGTAAGCGGGTGATGACCTCTCCACTATAGGTCTTCTCTGAAGAGGAGCACACAGGAGTCTTCACTTCCTGCAGAAGAACCAGGTACTTGCTCTCCACCTGACACATCTTGGCCTCCAAACTGTTGTACTGTAGAACACACCCCAAAGGAGGGAAAAAAAGCCCTCTTTATCTGTACAATAAAACATCCAGGATGGTTGTTGTGTGCATTGAGTATCTGAAGTCACAGACCTTTGCCTCTAGCAGTTTCTCTCTGGATTCAGCATTTCTTCGTAAGACTGTCAACTCGAGAATTTCTTTGTTCAAGAATTTATTTTGGGATTTGTAGCCATGAAGACTGTCCTGGAAAAGTTTGAAAAACCAACAAGTTGTATGTAAGACACTAACAATAATGTGTACTGTTACAGTGCTTGGACAAGCTACTAAAAGTATGCTTACAGTGTACTTACCAAGAAAGTACTGGCTTATATAAGGTAAGTACATGGAACAGGGGTAGGTTTAGGGGTAGGTTCAGGGTTAGTACTAGTTATTACCCAGTAATTGTAGTTACTAAAATAAGTACATAGTATTTACATGGGTAACTGGACTGTAAAATGAAGCGTTACCCATTATTTTACATTTCTGTAATAGAGTCACTGAACAGTTGTTACCCAACACCCAACAATTGCAATCCCTACCATGTTAATATACTAATTAGTTAACCATGACACCATACACCACAACTATCATGAAACTAACCTGCAATATACAGACAACTAATACCAAAAAGGATCTAGTTGTGATAAAACACTTGACTTGAACTCTATCCCTTAATCTTGCATGTAACTGTTGCCAATGTCCGATATATTTCACCCTAAGCTATTAATAATCTCATAGACACGTTCAGATCTACTGAATGATTGGGAAGTACATGTAAGTGTTCTTGTACTACCTTCAAGCTGTCCAACTCTTGTTGTTCCCTAGTTGCACTAGGTGAGTTGCATTCAGCTGACTGGGTTCCTCCTTCGTCACTCTGCTGGGAAAGTTTCATGATGACTTCGTCCTTGGCCTGAATGGTCTCCATGAGCATGCCCAGCTGTTCATTTATCTCCCCGATTTTGATCTTCAAACCTTTCAACTCCTGTTGAAGACTCTCCTTCTCCAAGGCTAGCCTCTCCATATGACCACAGAGAGCTTTGATCTGGCTGTCCCGCTCTGTCAGGGCTTTGTGCACCTCAGTCTCTTCTTCGTTATGATTGTGCGGCTCCATGTTCCCAGGAGGCACTTTGGAACGCCAATCGCATTGGGAGCTACGTAGCGTTTGTTGGAGAAGACAAACCAACTCCTGGTAGAAGAGAATACGTATAAGAGTGTGTATCAGCAGAGCACAGTTACCCATCAATTACTTACACAACTCAGACACACACCAACCGATGTGATCCTTTATAATCACTGATTACTCTTTAGTGTCCTGAGGTCAAAGTTTCCTGTAATCCATTAGAACAGGGGTAGTCTAGCTGCTGGAAGGCAACCATCTTGCCGTTGTGCGCCAACTCTAATCAAACACACCTGAACTAGACAATAACAGGCTACCCTCGCATTTGAACATTAAATATGACACCAAATTGAAATACAGGTACACTGGTTAATTAAAATGAACAAAATTAGTCATTGAGTCTTTAGGAAGAAAGACCCAGTGATCGGTTGGTTGGCTGGAACAAGTTTTGGTTTGGCTTTTTTAGTTGTTAATAAAACACAACACCATTTCAAGTCATTAGCAGTCTCATTAAGGGGGGGAGGGACACAGCAAGCCGACGCCAAAGAACTAGCAGTGATGAAAGCTGACTACGTCGGGGGGAATCTGTGCTTAAACGAACCAAAAGGACTACAGCCGACTGAGACCTAGGACACTCATTCTGTGCCTGCCTGTAAATGAGATAACTGTCTATTTCAGCCGATATATTCAAAAAGGGAAAGCAAAACTAAGACTGCAGGTATACAATCCATAAAGCAGCGCTTGCTAACCATTTTGAAAATCAATCATGCTGTTCGTGTTCTTTATTTCACTCCGTTCATGTTATTATGAAAATATTCATGCATTGGAGAGCTCAGGTAAGATTACGTCCAATTAGAACAGCATTTCTTTCTGTGCCGTCTTAAAGGAGTAGTTCACTTTTTTTTAAAAATAGCTGATAATTTACTCACCCCCATGTCATCCAAGATGTCCATTTCTTTCTTTCTTCAGTCGAAAAGAAATTAAGGTTTTTGATGAAAACATTCCAGGATTTTTCTCCATATAATGGACTTCAATGGGAACCAAACGGTTCAAGGTCCAAATGAGAGTTTTAGTGCAAACTGCAAACGGTTCAAAGGGCTTTAAACGATTCTAGACGATAAATAAGTGTCTTATCAAGAGAAACGATCGCTCATTTAAAAAAAAAAAAACAAAGTTTAGGTTTTATAAGCTCAAATGCTCGCCCTGCTCTGTTCTGTGATGCACGTTCGTGACTCCTGTTCGAACTCGTTCATCAAAATGAACAAATCTTTTTCCGAGTCAATTTCGTTGAATGAACCAAGTGACTCAAAAAAATTGTTCATTTTGATGTTCACTTTGTTGTTGTTGTTTTTTTAAATGAGCGATTGTTTCGCTTGATAAGACCCTTATTCATCGTCTGGAATCGTTTAAAAAGGTTTAAACAGTTTGCAGTTTGCACCTTGACCCGTTTGGTTCCCATTAAAGTCCATTATATGGAGAAAATCCTGGAATGTTTTCATCAAAAACCTTAATTCCTTTTCGACTGAAGAAAGAATGACATGGATATCTTGGATGACATGAGGGTGAGTAAATTATCACCAAAAGTTTTTTTTAAAAGTGAACAACTCCTTTAACTTCTTTGCTCGCTTTCATCAATTTTGCTCTTATTTTAGTGCACTGACTCGTTTGCTAAACTGAACAGCAAATCACAGTTCTCTTTCACCGACAGCCTGACACCGATTCTACATGTTGAAATGGCCAAAAAAAAAAAAACACAATAGTACCGAAAAAGTCGGCCAACGCTCAAAAACAGCCAGGTGTGTCCCTCTCTGGCTTCACACCTAACTCACCAAATAAGTGAAAACATTTTTATTCTGAGTATGCAAATCCTAAAAAAGTTAATAAAATGTTATCTGTAGCGTTGTAATAATGAATAACCACAAATTGATGTTTATATATATTACACATAACCCTTATTTAGAGTTGTTAATGTGTTAAACGCACATCTATGGGCCAAAGGGGAATTCTAAAGGGGAAAACAAAACAACAGTACCCATTTTGTGGTTCTCAAGGCCCTTGTTTTAGATCCGCTAACACCTTTATAGAAAAGCACACAAAAATTTATGACTGGAGTAGCAAGCATTCACTGCACCAAAGCTTTCTGGTGGGTATTAGAAAATGCTTTGAATTACAAAAGCAACATCAGATACTGTGCTAACATCAACTTGCACAAGGGGAATCCCCATGTATAATCATTACAAGGAATGAGGAAACTACAACACAGAGGACAAAAAAAGACCAGAAATAAGACACATTTTACAGGTTGCCAATTCACAAGCAAATACTATATTTAGAATGGGATTGCAAAACTAAAGCTGCCCGCCGAGGACACCATATAAATAAAACATGGTATATGTATTCGTATTGTACCTTCTGACTGGCGAGTTCCTCCCTGAGGTTGTTCTCTTGCTCCTGCAACCGGTTGATCTCTTCCTGTTGGCTCTGAACGTAGAGCTGCAGTTCGGAGGTCTTGTTCCCATTACACTCAACCGGCGAGCTCTCGGCGCTGCGGTTAACTTTGCCAGAGCCCACGTGAAAGGGCCGTTTCATTCTCGAGGGGTTGCGGAAATCAAACGTGAACGCTGAGCCAATGGAGTCTGTGGACAGTCAGGAGTGAGTTTCAAATTTAACCATCTGTGTTTAATTAAGTTACATCTCTGAATTATGAACTTACATCGGTTAAAGTGAGATGGGCTCTCCCGGCGTTGGCCGTCTGCTGGGGATTTCTGATCCGGTGCGTCCTTGGTTGGAGGATCCACCATTTCCCAGTCCTCATTGCTGGCTGTGTAAAACACACTGCGTCTGTTCTCTCCTCCTCGGCCGGGCCGCAGGTGAGACATGCTATTTCTGATAGACGGTAAAGGAAATGTAGTAAGGAGGAGCTAAATTCATGCCATCTGTAAAAGTAATAACTCAATCACAGTATAACATGTCAAATATTCATTTGAGTTACATAGCAAAGGTTAATAAAGAAATACGTGGTACATTTATCTTGCTATCAGCATGTTCTGGAATAATCGTTATTTAAACCAATCTCACATGACTTCTTTTATTTGCAAAAGGGGTCAAAGTATTCTATTTCCAGCCTCTTAAAATCTAACAAAGAGCCGCTGAAGTTTAGTTTAGTTTGTTTAATCAGTGCTGAAATCCAGATTCAGTCCTTTGGCCGGCTTCAGGATTGCGTCATCTAAACAGATCCAAAGTCTTTTGGAAAGTTTGAGGAAGAGATCAAACATGGCAGCAGTCGTCAAAGTAGTTCAATATGAACAATTCTAAATCAAGATGCAGATGTACATATAACTTATCAATTTATAATTTCAATTGCATAAATAAAGACCATTAAAAGCGGAAAATTCTTCCGTTTCAACCACGATTCCCCAAATTGTGGTTGAAACACATTTGATTGGTTCTCTCATCTTGAACATCTGATTTTTGGACTAATATTATATGTAGCCTACTTGCCATTACTATTACTATTGATAGTTGTTTTGTAATGTATTGTTTTAAAAATCTCTCTCGCACAAAACATCTTTTTGTAAGATTAATGTATTTTGTGAATCGTCCCTGATAAATAAATAAATAAATATATCAAAAAATGAACTAAGTGGGATGTGTTGTACAATGGTTTAGTATTTAGATTGATAATCAAATAATTATGTGAATTAATACTATATTAATATTAAGAAAATAGAAAGCAGATTTAAAAAATATAATAATTTGAAGCAAACTGAAGGCTATTTAAAAACAAATATAAATGTATGACTGTATGCTATACTGTATTCAAAACAGGATTAAATGTTGTTTTGATACAAATTGCATGGAAAAATATTCACATTATCAAATCCAAACAAATAACAATAAACATCCATTCAGGTCCATTCTCCCAGACTTACCTGAGCCCAGAGCCCCAGTGTCGGAGGGAGTTGAGAGCTGCGGTGGGTTGTGCCACAGGGTTACGTGATGACTGGAGCCCGACCAGCCCATCATTGTCCATCTCCAAAGCAAAGTCATTCCGGACACTTTCCATGCTGTCGTTGGGCTTCTCGTTGAGCATTGCTTCTACAACAACACAGTCACGGTTTGAGTCATCGGTTCGTTTGCGTCACAGTCTGCTGCTCTTCTTAGTGTCATTCATCAATCCAAGATGTGTCCTTATTGCCACACATCAGTCAATTTACACAACAGAGAAATAAGTAGTTTGACGACTTTAGTGTCCCTTATTGACTTATGTGCAACTGCAAACATTTACTTTACCCATAAAGGATGCAATTATTGTACAGCATATATTTATAGAAATATAAGAAATACATTCTCTTTCTAAGTATCTTGTAGAGCCATGCACAATGTTAGTAATGTCTAAACAAAGTGGAAAATTGGCAACCCTTTGTTACTTTTATTCCAACATATATTTATGTAGTTACATTTTGCCAGACTACAGAATGAATGACAGAACTTTGGCAAAATTGCTATTCTGTTAAAACAGACCCTACCTACTAAGTTTGTCTTTTATAAACTAAGATCTTTATGTATGAAAATACAGTCAGGAAGTAAAAGAAACTGCTACAAATCAAGTCTTTGTTGGCTCCATGGTGCAATAATAATGTTGCTGACGAATATCTACATTTTAGCAAGTGTAAAGCACATTTACAGTTGTATAGCTGTACTCCCATTGACTGCGTAACAAAAGTTATTGTGATCCCAAGACTATGAGCTCTACTTTATCAAAATGACATTTTCAGTCATTAATAGTAACAACAGTGCTGATCAATTGACTTTAATGACTAATGCAGAGAGAAATTCAGAGGAGCATTTTTTCTGGTCATTAAAAATGAATTGCTAATGACTTGTAAATGCGACACTAATAAGGAGGAAGCGCAATCGCTTTTTGTTTTGGTTCTGCCTTTTCAACTTCAGAAATAATGCTAAATGCTACAGAGAGAAACCACAAAACTGTCTAAACCCTTTATAGTCCCTCATTAAAAGGAAAGGGAATTCAATAAATAAATAAATACTTCAACCCTTTATTTCTTTATCATTATCTGTTTTAATTATAAAATTAATTATTTTAAAAATTTAAAAATTTCTAATTATAAAAAAATTTAAAGTTCTAAACCAAAAACAATTCTATTTACATTTAATTATTTGTTATTATATAAGTTATTTTCAATATTTATATATTCAATATTTTCGCATCTAACATAAAAGTTTATACATGTGTGTGTGTGTGTGTGTGTGTGTCGCTATATATATATATGCTAAATATATCCACTATATTATCATATTCATTATAATTTTACCATCATAAACAGTTTTTATAACAGCCACCTTTAAATGTTTATAGGTGATAATCCAACGAATTGGATTAGAAAAAAATATAATTAAAACTTTATTGTTGGTACACAAATCAGTTTTATTTTTAACCTTTATTATTAGTAATGGACCAACTGACAGGGTTATAGTACAGCATTACTTGAGAAAGATTTATTTTTCCTTGAGAAAAACAAGTACTTGCCATCTGATATACAGTATATCCATCTGAATCGTTTCGAAGTTTGAGAATTGAAATTGCGTTGTGAGAAAACTAACAGTATTTATATCGCTTTTACCTCTTGTAACCACAGTCACGTCTAAGTGATCTGAAGGCGCAGGCGCTTTGTGGCTGCGGTTACAAGAGTTAAAAACGATATAAATACTGTTTGTTTTCTCACACAAACTGCTCGTTTCGTGTCTTAGGCCATCAATGTGTACTTACATTTACGAGTCATTAAATCATGTTTAATCTGGACTTCTGTGTGCATGCTCTTTGAGGTGGTGACCATAGACCTCCATTATATGACTGATAGACAAAAACGGTTTGACCTAAAAATATCAAAATTGAAAATACTGTGGAAACAAAGACACCGACATCTTGGATGCCCTTGAGGTAAGCTAAAACGTATCAAAAATGTCTTTTGAAGTGAACTGTCCCTAAGAATAGACATGATCAAAAACTGATTTTTATCTTTTAGATGCCTGTTCACTTGTCCATTTGATCTCACCTGCATCTTTGGCCACCAAGCCCGTATGTGGATGGAACGGGGATGGGGAGCACCAGCTGTCTCTGTGACCAGACATGTTACAGAACTCCCATCGTTTCTGCTGTAACTGCTGCAGCCAGTAATGCATCACCTGCCTGTTGGGTGCCTGCATGCAGAAAGGGCAAAAAAAGCAGTGTGAAACCAAGGCTCTATTTTTGCTTGTTGTTTTGTGGTATAACAGCAGTCTTCGGAGGAACAGGGTCAGGTGTGTCCCCTTTGAGAATAATCACACTTGTTTCATTCTCAGTTCCAGTTTGTTGATGAAGTTGCTCTTTAACTGTGAGAATCAAAACACATTTATAAAACAGAAAAACACACGAATAAATGGTCAATTAGGGCCCACAATCAAGAAAATCATTTTTAGTTCTTAGAAATGTATCGTTTGTATTTATGTTGGATTCGCGTGGGTTTGAAAATCTTTAATACGGTTTTTCGATTTATTTTCAATTTAATGCATATAAAAATGCTGTATGGTGTAACATTTTCCTTAAATCTTGAATACATGCGAGTGTACAAGTCTTACAATTTCCAAAAATGTTTTTCGATATATTTTTCAGTTTGAAAAAGATAGTTTACACATATCATGAATTATGAATTCATAAATACGTGTCGCACCACATGGCATTTCTTAATTAACGTTGCTTTATCATGCATTTAAGTGTTAAAAAATCATTTGAATACCGAGACTAAGGCATGCTTATCATAAAAACTTGCATTTAAGACAATAAATGTACATGCATGCATTTTATTTCAAATATAGCTTTGAATAAATCTGTTAACAGAACTAAGTATTTGCATAATGTCATTGACACCACAATGTTACATTATGCAAAGTTTTGCAGTAAACACTGCTCATCTTCAGCCAGCACAGGCATGCTGGGAGCTCAGATCTGTTTGAAGATATTTCCTTCAACCTCGATGCTGATAAGAAATTGCTACACAGCCGTGTCATGAGGGCCTGAAGCCAAGTGAGTGTTATGCACAATACATTTTTAGAACTTGAAGTTAAGAAAGCTGTTATATACAGTATACTGATAACCCAGGCAGAGCTTGCAAAGACAGCACAGTTAACAATTGATCTTGTGTTATAGTCCTACATTCTCCAGTCATGAGGAAAGAGGTTTAGATGATGAGTCCAGCATGTTATATTGTATCCTAACAACAGCTGAATGACTGAGCCAGTGTGCTTTGTGCAAAGAAATATTCCCTTCTGTCTACACTACAGTAACATACATATAATGATATCATGAATGCATTGTTTATTTATAGGTTAATTATAAATATATTCTCTTTAATATATTATAAAAGGGAAAATATTAAATTATGCATAATTCTGGTTCAGGTCACTTAAGGATGGTCAGTAGTAACCTAACCACTTGTTGCACTAGAACTTTCTCACAGTCACTTCACACCATTAAAGTTAATTAAGAAACTAGTTTTTCGTAAAGAAGCTAATAAATTCAGTCCTTTTAATCTTTATATGGATAACTGTTGGCATATAAGGCAGACGTATCTACATACCTTCAGTAGGAACTCCTTCCCCTCGGTGTGGATCTCAAAAAGCCCCTCGTCGACCTCTACATCATATCTGAAACAGGCATCCGCGATCTCAATGTGTCCCATTGGAAGGGCGTCTTGAGGAGTCTTAAAGTAATACAAATAACATTTCCTGGGGTCGTACACAAACCAGCGCGTTTTGAAGCTTCTTAGGGGCCCTTTCACTGTCAGTTTATTCAGGTAGCCGCATAATTTGGATTGCTGGTCCTTCGGGGCATCGCATTCGGGTACATCGAGGGACTTGGTCGCCAGGATCCGAGAGTTCCTGCTGGGACTGGCAGCGCTGTCATCCTCTTCATGCATCTTTCTCTGGACTTTCGTCTCTTTCAGCGATAGCGGACACAAGTTTCCATCCGCATGACGTCACATGACTTCCATTCTCGTGCTACTGCCGCAGAGGATGATGGGACGTGTAGTTTTGGTGCACAAGCTGTCAGTAAACTTCCGGGTTCTGAACTGGTTGCAGTTCCACTCTGGTTCCATATGAGGGAGCTCACATGACGAGTGCAGAATTAATGGAGGTCTATGGAGCTAATCCACTTTTCTCTGGATATAATGTTTTGTCTAGTAATTTGAATGTTGTTTTGCAAAGAAATTACACATTACTGGGTGTTAGATTTTTTTAGAGTCACTTCTTTGCTTTAAAAAGCCTTTTAAAATGTCAATGACGTCATACACATTGTACGACCAGAGACCTGGCTTTACGGCAATCCTTCAAGTGCCGCCATATTCTTTGACAGGGCTGTGACAATTTATTTTACAGTATATAGCCTATGTAGGAATATTTTTAAATATATAAATTATTTTATCTTTTCACTGTATATACTTATTGTCATAAACAACAAAAACAGATATACAACAGCACTAAGCATGCATGCTTTCAGAAGTATTATCACAAAATATGTACATATGACATACATATATGCCATAAATACTAATTAACATATTTGAGGATTGCTTCATATTTGATATTCCCTCTGGCATCAATAAAATAGAAAAATAGATTATAAATATGTTCATAAATTATCGGATATGCTTGTTTTACATGCTGAACATCATCCCGTCTACTGGGATAACTAGAAACATGAATAATACAGACGAATTACATTAGAAGAGACTGATCCTACCCAGGGAATGAAAGTGATCCTCAGAGAAATGAGATGAGAGGACAAGCCTATATGATTCTGCTCTCATCTCATGTGACAGAAACCATTTAATGCTTTTGACCTTCGCCAAAAAGTCTGACATACTTATAAGCAGGACTTCCATTATCTCTGAATCTGACATTCTGCTTGTTAGTATGTCAAAACGTTAACTTTTGTTTGTTAAACTGTTTCCATGCCCCCAAAAATATCTCTGGTTGCCATGGCTGCTGCTTTAACAATTTGTTTGAGATGAAAAGTGAGAGGGAAACACTTTGGTTTCCTGCACCACAAGCCGCTCTATGACATCTGTTGAAACCAACGAAACAAGTCACGTTACTAACTGCTTTATTCAGAGCTGGAAAACACCAGAAAACCAGATTTAAAGAATATATATATATATATATATATATATATATAGGCTATATATATATATATATATATATATATATACTGTATATTGCATAAACAGTGCTTCTGTTTAATAATAATTATGGTAACACTTTGCAATAAGGTCCAGTTAGTTAAACACTAACTAAGTAATACATTTATTCATCTTTACGTTTAACCCTTAAAAGCATGAATGTTTCGCCAATCATTATTACATATTCAGGTCTTTTGAGACCCGGATCTATATCTTTCACGGATGGATCTCTACATGCCGTGATAATATAAAACTCTCCTGATATTGTAACAATTGCAGAAAAATAAAATAAAGCATCTGGCATTTAGCATCTGGCCCATATTCGCCATCTCAAACAAATTCTCAAAACTATCTTTCTCAACATATTCAAAATTACAATTTTGATCTCTTCAGTGACATTAATATTAGATTGCGTTCAGTATTGCCATTTCAAGTTTTGCTGATGATACTTCCTATTCTTTTGTTTTCTGCCTGCGGTAACTATTACTGAAACATCATTGTGTATCAGACAAGATTGCACTTATTCAGTCATCAAAATCTGTATTATTGATGTAAATATACTTAAATATAAAAAAATATACTTACACTGTTACACCACGGGTCATTAGCAATCCGATACAATTTTTACAAAAAAATAATGGGAAAACAGATGTATTCTTTTATAAAATTTTATAATGAGGAATACTAAGCAGGTTGATGTCTAACTTGAAAAAATTAATGAGGAGGGGGGTAGTGAACGACTTTACAGTATGCGTTTAAATGTTAATTGTTAATTAGGCTATACCACAGTTTTTATTGTTAGTGTGAAAAAATGTGACATTATAGTAAAATTTTACCACGGTCCACTGTTTCTTACTTGCAATGTTATTTGAATTTCTTTTCTTTTTCTTTTTGATAAAATCCATAATTAAAACTATGAGTCCAAAAAAAAAATCTTTTAGCTTGTTTTTTTTTTTGTTTTCTTTTCTTTTATTCTTATGGCCGTTATCATAATTTTTAAAGAAGGCCCAAGGATCTGCAACAAACAGACGTAACTGTCACTCTGACATCCTCCGCTGTAAACAGACGTCTGACCTTTCTAAAATGTCACTATATTCCTTCACAGCATCTCACTGATAAGTGTCTTTTTTTCCTTTTACCTTCGGTTTAAACTTCTGGCCTCAAATCTTTGAGGGCCAAGTGGGTTATTCGACAAAATGTGTCCCTCATTCAGTATTTGATTAACAATGAATGATGAACTGGTCAACTGGTTATATATATATATATATATATATATATGAAGAGTTCAGATGCAAAAACCTCTAAATGCCATTTGAAATTTTCTTCTTTAATGATGATTTTATCAAACTTGTATATTTAAGTTCAGTAATTTCACTTAAATAACAATTAATAGGTAATCTTCATTGCCATTTAAGTGAAATCACTGAACTTAAATATACAAGCTTGATAAAAATTATCATTCTAGAAGAAAATTTCAAATGACACTTAGAGGCTTTTGCATCTGAACTCTTCATATACAGTATATACAAATCTAGCCTATTTCAAATAATAAGAAGCAAATCGGCATATTAGAATGATTTCTGAAGGATCATGTGACACTGAAGACTGAAGTATTGATTTGCCGTAGGAATAAATGACTTTTAATTATTATCATAGAAAGCAGTTATTTTTAATTGTAATAATATTTCACAACACTACACTAAAATGCTGGGTTGTTTTAACCCAATTTTGGGTCAAATATGGACAAACCCGAAATGTTGGGTTAATGTTGTAAATAGTCCATATTTGACCCACAACCCAGCATTTTTTAGAGTGTACTGTTTGTACTGATAAAATAAATGCAGAATTATTTTGGAAGCTTGTTTCCAACACTGAATAAATCATTTAAATTGGTAATTGGGGGGCCCTGAAAACAGTGCGAACTACAAAAACGTGAATTTGGGAAAACGGTTACGTTGTGCGTATTACGTACAAAGTGACATCGCCACCTACTGGCCTGGCATGAATAATACAGCGGGTTTTCTTTTTCGTGTATCTGTGATTGTGAACAATTCTGATCCTAACTCTCTGACTTTTCTCACAATTGGGAGTTTATCAATCAGAATTGAAAGTCTATATTTCCAATTCTGACTTTAAACCTCACAATTGTTTATCTCGTAATTGTGAGGAAAAAAGTCCAAATTTTGAGATAAAAAGTTTAAATTACCATAGTTTTTATTTCATGGTGGAAACAAACTTCCATAATAGCCTTAGTGAACATAAGAGACTTTTAAAATAAATAAATAATGAATATATATACATTCTTACCCATTTTATAATGGTATGTATCAGCATTAAACTTTTCATGCTGATCTTGAGCACAGGAAATTTAACTTTTAAAAAATACTGTAACTTTTTGAAAAGGAACTCCTCCACATCACAACTGATTAACATTTGTTGAAACAGGTCTTATTAGTCACAAGAACAATTTCACTTTTTTAACATTATAGGAAGTTAGGAAGAATGTGGGTGCATACCGTCAGCTGAAAACGAAAGGCGTTTTCTTTTTGTGCCTCATGAAATAAATAAAACTGGGGTTGAAATGAAGTGAACAATCTCATAGGCTACCATGTTTTTTGTAGGCCTATGTGGTTGTACCATAGCATGCAAGTGAGTCAACAACACCAAATAAGGAACAAGTACAGTCCCTAAACTAGACCTAAACTAGAGCTGATATAGAGTACAGTAATGCTGAGACACTGATGGAAGGTCTCAGGAAAACCCTGTCCACCAGCGTGACACACACACACACACACACACTGTTTCTGAGGAGGCTGTTGTCCCACGTGTGAGGGGTGGGGAGAACCGATCAGACCAGCCCTGGGCAAAAACCACAAAAATACAGTACACACACTTTAACCTTGATGAGTCAGTTAAGGATTCTGTGCCGGGTTGCCACAACCTCTTTACTAACATGATGCGTTTGGGGACCCTAATTTTCACGAAACAGATTTTAAGGTTTAATGTTAACATTAGGTATTACATAGCATATAGGCTATTATATATTCTGTAAATTATATATAGGCATGTCAAGTATCACACTTGTGTTTTCAAAATGGGTTTACATTACATGACCATAGACAGGTTCATGACTTCCTGCAAGTACAAAACCCACCGATACAATCAGAAAGAGAGTGTGTGTGTGTGTGTGTGTGTGTGTGTGTGTGAGAGAGATAGACCACATTTCTTTCCTCTGCGCGTTCCATTTCTCTTCAGGAAACTGCTGTGATCTATAAGAATGTTTGTGTTTTTTCCTTCCTCCCTCGCGCTGTCATTCATCCGTGAGCTGAGCGTCTTACCCTCTGTATAACACTCTGTTTTTCCAAACCCAGTGTGGAAAAATGTGTGAGGTGAATGTCAGCGATGTATAACAGTCAACACACCTTCATAATGTTCTTCAGAAGTGTCTCAGGCGTGTGAGAGACTGAGGACAGTTTTAATCTTGAGCAACATGACCCTCAAATCACACTGCACGCTTCCACGAGCACCAACAGGTACGTCTCTGGCAATGTCCAAGATTTAACGGGGATTTGAAGGAATATTAATCTACAATAATCATTATTATGTTGGTTACACTTTATTTTAAGATATCCATGTCTCAGCGTATTTAATTATACATTGAAGTAGCATACTTCTACGTAATAAATTAACTAATTATAAGGTTAGGATGTTTGGTAGTTACATGCATATTATATTTATTACTAAAGTAACGACTTGTAACGTGTAACATGGGGACTGTAAAATAAAAATAGGCCTAACTTATTTTTTGTTA